CCAGCGCACCCCCTCGGGCCCACACCTCCTGCCCCGGGACTGGGGAGCACGGTGGAGGGATGGGGGAGCCAGTGCAGCCGCTGCGAGCGGGGAGATGGCGGGTTCCGCTGTCTCTGAAGCCCCCTTTGCTCTTTCTGACCCTGGTTGGGTGGGTGTGGGAGGCGGGGAGGGGGACAACAGGGCGGGACTCTCCTGCCTGGCCATCTGCCCCTCTGCCCCTCTGCCCCTCTGTGTGCTGGAGCCTGGCTGTGACCCTTAAGCACAGTGTCCACGTGGGAGAGGTGCTCACGGGATGCTGCCCTGCTCCCCCCAGGTGGTGCAGGGTGAACCCTAGATGAGGGGAGGGAAGCCGCCTACCCCTCCACTGCCCCCCGCCTGGAATGCCACCCCCACCCCCGCATGTCTCCAGCCTTTAATGCACACGCAAGCCTGAGCCAGCCCTGTCGTCACTAGTTCTTTACCCTCGAGGGAAGAGTGTTCCACAGTCTCCTGAGATAGGGTTCTGACGGGGGAGTGGGGGGAGCAGAAAGCATTAGCCCCCAGAAGGGATTGCTGAGGGGAATGGAGGAGGCTTCCTCCTCTCACCAGCCCTGCCAGGGTGGCCTCCTGGGGCACGCGCTGGCCCCTCACAGCCCTCAGGAGCCACACAGTCAGTCCCCAGGCATTCATCCTCAAATCGCTTTCCCTCTTAGCTTTCTCAGCATCTTTGCATCACTCCAGGGAGACACACCAGAGCCCGGTTTAACTTCCCCATTTTCCAGGTGGGCAGGACTAAGCCAGGATGAGCTCAATGAAGTCACGGGAAGGAGAACAGGAAGGAGCCGAGCACCCTAACACCCACAGGCTATTCAGCCCAGCCAAGGAGAACCACACCCTTGCTCCCCTCCCCTGCCAAGCAGACAGGACATCTTCAAAGCCAGCCTCTGAACACCTGGATGGAAAATCTTTATTTCCTCTACTGGAAAGGCCCATCAGGGAGGGAAAGGAGGGCAGGGAGTTGAAGAGCCTGTGTGACAGGAGCTGCAGGGGCTAGGGGCAAGGGGAGGACAGTGAGGGGAGAGGGAAGCCAGTCACTTGCTGTCCTCCAGGAAGAAGTCGTTGTAAGCCATGCACAGCGTGGTCAGGAACACCGAGTACTCCTTGAAGTCGATCTCCTGGTCACTGTTTTTGTCCAGGTTCTTCATCAGGTCATCAATGCTGCTCTCCTTCATCTTCTGTGGGGAACCAGGCAGCAGGACAGCTCAAAACCCCTTCCACCGGCCCACCCCTGCAAGGTGCCATTCCCCACCCACTCACCTCACCCCCACTCAGACAGCCCCTAAAGGCCATGCCCAGCCCACACCCAGCACAGCATCCCGCCTCATAAGTTATAATAGGAAGGCTAGCCTCACCTTCTTCCCTCAATACCTTTGCCCATCTAAAGAAATTATCATTTGTTTTTGAGAGAGAGAGAGAGATTTGCTGTAGGGCATGTGCGCTTGCCAGAGAGACAGAGACAGAGAGATAGCAAGTAAGAAACACCCCCCCGGGGGGGAGATGGCCACACTACAATCCCTTCTCTTTCATTCTCCTCTCAGGATTTTGGGCACACACGCACACGCGCCTGGCATGAGTTTTACGCCACTGGGTCTCCAGGACTCAAATGCAGTTGACTACGTGGGAATCCAGCGACATAACCATTATGTCATCTGTTGATCCATATAAATTGGATTTTATAACAACACCTAATTAAAAAGCCTTGGTAAGGTATGAAAACAACCTAGGTGTCTAACAATAGACAAATGGACAAACATATTCAATGGAGTATTATTCAGTCTTAAAAAAGAGGAGCTCTTGCTATTTGCTACAATATGGATGGACCTGGAGGACATCAGGCTGAGGCTAAAAAGTCAGACACAGAAAGAAAAATAACGCATGATCAGACCAACCAGTGACGTGTTTAAGGCAGCTGGATCCCACGCAGTCGACTGCGTGGTTCGAGTCCTGGATCTGGTGGCTTTAGAGACACGCCAGGCATGTGTGCGTACATGCCCAAAATCCTGAGAGGAGATTAGAGAAGGGATTGCAACATGCCCATCTCCCCAGAGGGTGCTTTCTCGCTTTTGTTCTCTTCCTTTTTCTCCCTCTCTGGCAAATGCATGCACCCTGAAAAAAAATAATAAAAGTATGATTTCACATGCAGAATTTATAAATAAATAAAGGTTCAAAGATACAGAGATAAGGGATGAAATGGTGGTTCCCACAGGTGGAGCGAAGAGAGGAAATGGAGAGGTGTCCTTTAAAGGACACAAAATAGCAGATACATAGGATGAGTAAGTCTAGAGCCAATGTTTTGTATGAGGTCCAAAGTTAACAAGTTGCATCTTGCTAGAAATTTGTGTTAAATTAGTAAATGTAGCTGGTTTTGAAACAAGAAAAGGAAGATGTGGGATGACAGCTGTGTTACTCTGCTTCACTATGGTAACCACGTTCTATCCATATGTATCCGTGTATCTTTAGCTATCGCGTCACATCATGTCCTAAACCTCAAAGATTTACAATAAAATGTATTTTAACAGAAAAACGGATGGCTTGATGATTATGTGGCACAGAACATTATCCAAGTCTCCAACATACTCAGTCCCTATTTTATTGTTTTTTAGTTTTTTGCCATAGGGTGTGTGCAGTTGCCAGAGAAAGACAGACAGGGAAAGTGAGAAATCCCCCCCAGGGGACGGCCATGCCACAATCCCTTCTCCATTCTCCTCTTTTGGGCACACTTGCACACATTCCCAGTGTGATTCTCAGTCCCCTTTTTTTAATTTTTTTAGAATTATTTTATTTAACTTTATTTATTATTATTTCCAGTTTTGATCAGAGCGAGAGAGGGAAAGTGAGAAAGCAAGTCACCAGGTCCAGGACTCGAACTGTGGTTAGCTATGTGGGAGTCCAGTGCCTTTAACCACCACGCCACCTGCTAGCCCCCAGTCCCTATTTTAAATGATAGTTGACAATGGAGCCAGATGACACCTCTCTCCATGAGAATGGTGTTGGAGCTGAGGAGCCCTGCTGTAATAGAGCCCTGTGTCAAGGCCGTGCCTGGTGCCCTCTCTGTCTGGCTCCACCAGAAGGATGGAGCTGGGCCCTTGGGATGGGACAGGAAGAAAATGCAGACAGAAGGTTCTTAGCCTCCCCTCCTCACTGCCTCCACTGCAGGTTTCCACAGGAGACAGGATGTTGGGACATACAGAGATGGAAACTGCTTGTGACGTGATTCCAGTTCCCAGACTGGGCTCCTGTTATAGCCAGGCCCTCCCCTGGGCCTCTGGCTCCTTCTAATTAACCCCAGCAGGACCCATGGCCACTCTGCCCTCATTAATGCAAGGGTGCAGAGAGCCTGGCAGGAAGACTAAAGAGCAAGTCTGGGGATACCCACATCTGCTTTGGTCCCTGCCCATGGGGACATGCTCTAAGGACCTTCTCTGTGGGCAGGGCTCCCAGGGTTTGGGATGTGATGGGGGAGACCCCCACACTGAATTTTAAAGGGAAAAAGGTGGGTGATGCTCAGGCCTGCCCTGGAATTTCAGCTCCACCTCTCTCCAGCTGGTGTCCTTGGACAAGTTATAGGATGTATGAGAATCAACTTATTTAACTGTAAAATGATGTAACACCTACCTCGTGGGCCTTCTCCTCTGCCAGCCGCCTCCCTCCTGCCATCTCCAACTGATGGGAATCTGTTCTGTTTCCTTCCTACTCTGTGTTCACAGATGAACCTTTTGCTTTGGTTCAAGTGCCAACGCCCTCTGAAAGTCCTGGGCACCCGGAGAAGAATCAGACCAGGTCCCTTCCTTTGAATCGTGCACAGCACGATCTGAACACCTGCTTCCTAACCCAGGCTCTGCACCACTGCAAGAGCCTGGGCCCACCATCAAAGGCTCCTTCGTTTTGTTCTCTAACCATCATGCAGGCTGAGGTCCAACCTCCAGACTCAGCCCTTCCTCCTTCCCATGAAACCCTGACTCACCCCCACCACAGAGGTCTAGAGCTCTATCAGCTCAAGATCTCCACCCTCTTCCTCTACCTCTCTCTGTACCCCCCATCCATCCCACCCCTGGCTGAGATCAGAGTACCCAGAGTGCAGGCATGTGTCCCACAAGGAGCGCTCAGACTTTGCGGTAGGGGTGAGGGAGCAGTTACCTACCTCCCCAAGACATAGCTCCTTCTTGATGAGCTCCTTCAGCTCCCTCCTGCTCAGGGTCAGTTTGCTACCCTCTCTTCCCGAATATTTGTGGAAAGTGGTGACCATAGTGGTCAGGGCCTTCTCAAGAGGCGTCTCCATCACGATGTGCAGATCTGCAGGGGAAAGAAGGAAAGATCTCATTCTTCTACCCCACCTCCACGGCCCCTCCCTCAAAGAGCCAGAGACTGCAGCCTGTGAGGAGACTGAAACCCACCCCCAAGTCTACCCAGTCTGGTTATAAGGAGGCCCACGGCAAAGCAAGAGCAGCCAGAGCAACAAGACCAGCCTGACCCCCAAAAGACAGCAGACCCTTCTGCTCAGGAAACGTTGAAAAAGAAGCTGAAGACAGAGAGAAGACAAGATGATTCCCCCAGAGAACTCATGACAGATGGTGGAGCAGAGGAAGGCTCAGGATTTTCTCTGCACCATCAGCTTGGCCACTGGTTTTCCAAAAGCAATTCCCCCCTTAGTCACCTCCTTTGCCCCAGGCCTGAATCACTGCATATTGGGGAGTGTCCCATTATGAAAGTAGGCAACAGGGCAAAGAGCGAGTCTGGGAGTCAGAGGGGGCTGGGGCTTATCTAGGAGATTAGGTCTCAACAGAAAGCAGGAGAGAAGTGACTGGACTAGTCCAGCTGGTGTCCAGCCTCGGCCCAGAGAACTGCACACACGGACCGGCCAGGAGGTGAGGAGGCAGAGGAGGAGCCTCCTGAAATCTCCAAGATCATCCTAAAGCCTGGATCCAAGGCTGGTTTTTGACTGAGGTTCCTGATTCCATCAGCACAGGCACCCCCACGTAAGGGAAGTAGGGAACTCGTGTGACTCAGACTTGACAACCACTTCCGCCTTAGGGAGGAAGGCGGCACCAATGCCCATGGAAGCCGAGGGCTGCAGGTAAACCCTGCAGAGTCCTGAGCAAGCCCACCCTGCAGCTCTTGAACTGGACCCATCATTCACCTTCTGCTCTCAAAAACCGCAGCTTCTCTGGCTAGCAGGTGGCGTGGTTAAGGTGCTGGATCCCACCTGGCCAACTCTATGGTTTGAGTCTGGACCCTGCGGCTTGAAAATCATGCCAGGCGCGACCAGCAGATGGCATAATGGTTATATTGCTAGTCTGCGGTTTGAGTCCCAGGCCCAGTGGCTTGAAAAACATGCCATGCACATGTGCATGCATGCCCAAAATCCCAGGAGGAAAATGGAAGAAAAGGGCTTACAGCATGGCCATCCCCATAGGGGGTGATTTCTCACTTTCCCTCTCTCTGTCTCTTTCCAGTGAGCTCAAGTGCCTTATAGTAAAAATTTAAAAATAATAAAATTTAAACGTTTTAAATAAAAATAAATTTTAAAAATTAAAATAAAACCTCAGGCTCTCTCAAATCAAGGAGACTCAGTCAGGACCATAGTCAAAGGCCAGGGCCTCTGGGCCTCTGCAGGAGGGTCTGGCTGGTTCTGAGCCGCCCTCTACTCCAGAGCCATCTCACCAGAAAGTCTGATAGCCACGATTCCACTGTCCGGGAGCACATGCCCTTTGTGGGCCAGGCCTTCCTGCCGAGGTCACCAGCACTTCTCCCCCAGTTTGGCCCACCAGAGCTATACAGGCAGGTCAGAAGGAAGACTTACCCACGAAAAGCAAGCCTAGAGAACCCAAGCAGCAAGACCAGCCTCCCTGCCTCTGCTCTCTGCCTTTATTCCCTCGCTCCCAGTCCCCAGGAAGCCAGCGAGAGAAAGGGCCAATGAGCAGGGGTCAGGGACGTGACGTCAGAGCCTCCCGGGATGGGGCTGGGGAGAAAACCCCTCCGTCATGCTCTCCTTTCTTGTTTGTAAACAGGGGGTGAGGGACATACTAAGTTGGTAGGGGCACCCATGTAACCCCCAACACTTCATTTTTTCAGCCAAATACACAGGTACTTCCTCTCGTCCCAGGCCACTCTCCCTGTTGGGACCCTCCCATCTGCTCTAGTTGGGGACCTGTGGGGAAAGATTTTCCTGCCAAGGATGTGATCAAGGTCACTAGCCAGTGTGAAGCCAAGAGCTTTTAAAGGACGTTTAAACAAGCTATTTCTTCTAAACCTCACAGATCTTCATGAGGAAGAATTGTGGGAGACTTTTGCCATAGTGGACAGAGTGGAGGACTGGGGAGGAGATATAGGGAAGGGGTAGGGCCCAGTGATGGGTTGTGAATTGAAAAAGGGGTCTAGGTTCAGGGAGAGCTGGCCAAATTCCTGGAGACACCCACCAACCAGTTGGAGTATTAAAAAAATAATAAGTAAAGAAATGAGTCGGGAGCTTAGGACCTGTTGCCCGGTAGCCTCACCCGGCCTGCCGAGGACCTCCTGCTGCCCCTACTCCACCCTCACCCCAGCAGGTGAGCCTAGAGAGGCAGCAGGACTGGTCGCTAAGCAACAGGAGGTTCCTACTCAGAATGATGCTGGAGGAGGCCCAGGGGAGGGAACTCCCCTGGAAGATGGGAGGACTGACTAGATGGAGAAGGGGGAGGAGGCCAACTTCTCCTGGACCAAAATACTCCCTAAATCTCTGCAGTCACACAGCAGGGACATCTGAGTCACCTACCCAGCTCCTCTAAAATGAGAGGAAAGCGCAGCGTGATGAAGAGGCGAAGCTCAAGGGCCAAGGAGTCAAACCTCTGGCCTCTGGACCTGAGCTCTCCACGCCACCTCCTTAGAGGTGCTCCTAGCACACAGGCACGGCCCTGAAGACTAACCTCAATCCAGCCACTGCAGCCTGGAGCCAGCACTGGCCTTTGACCTACCCTAAGAGGAAGCAACATTGTCCTTTGTATTTTCCGGAGTGGGAATGAGGGGAGAAGATCTCCATTTCATTTATTAAATTATATGTCTGGAATTTTGTTTCCCAAACAAGGGTGACCTCCCCACCACTCAACCCCCCACCCCCAGTCCCAGCCCAGCCACTCTCCTCCACTCATTCCCTCTGAGGTCCCTGACCTTCCCTGAGGAAGCATGATTTTGGACTGACAACACAGCTCATCCGGCTCATCTGGGGCAAAGACAATGGGTTCAGGATGACTGCGTCCTCACGCTGCCCCAAATGTGCGGTCTCCCTCACCAGACACCCGCCCCCCGCTCTGATCTGACCATGGACGAGAAAGGATTAATCCATCTCTGTGGTTGGAAGTCACTGGGCTGGAAAGGGGTGTCAGGATAGGGCCTGGACTACAAATGTCAGGACTGCGGGCCAGCCCTCCTCCCACCCCACTCTGGCCTCACTACTTCCTCATGTGACTCAGCCCTATCGTCCTCCCTCCAGCTTATTCCCAGGGCGCCCACACTCCATTCCAGACTCCAACCAGGAGCAGATGTGACCTTCAATCCATCCCAGTCCTAGCCAGAGGTCCTGCAGAGGCAAGGCTGGAGAGAGGTGGAATGGATGAGTGCGCTGGCTAACATCCCGCAGCTGGGCTCTGCTCCAAGCTTCCGGTGGTCTCTCTGCCTGCCTTTGACCCCAGCCAGAGTCAGCTCACATACACACACGTGCACGAACTCACACACCACATCCCTCCCGACTCTCACTAACCTGCTCTCCTCCAAACTGCAGCTCAGCTCCCAGCACCCCCCATCACCACCACCCTATATGTCCCTTAGTCCCCAACGCGCACCCAGAGTCTCTCAGACCGTCGACTCATAGCTTCTGAGAATCTTTATTTTACTTGCTCAACATCACGCCCATATCTAAGGGAGCCAGGGTGAGGCACTGGGCCCACTGCTAACAGGAAAGCCCCCATCTGAGGAGCCTTCATTTCTTCCGGGGCTGCTTATCCGGGAAACCTTCAAAGAACTCGTTACACATCATGGCGATGCAGGACAGGAAGACACAGTACTCCTGGAAATCCACCTCGTTGTCTTTGTTGCTGTCCAAGTTGCTCATCAGCTTCTGGTACGCAGCTTCATCCGTCCTTTTCTGAGGGAAGAAGAGGCGTCAGGTAGAAAATGAACCCAGAAGGTTGAGTGGAGACTAGACCAACTTTCTGCCTTCAGACCCAGGTTCGAGTGGGCTCACAGCCACTCCTCTGGGAGGCCTAGATTTAGAAGGCCAACCCTCTCGGCTAAACTAGGGCAGAGAAGGGTCCTCTTTGGAGGAGGAACCTGGGTAACTTGTGCAATCGGAAAAGATGGGGAGAACCAGAAGATGGTGTAGCAGTTACATCACTGGACTCTCACACGGCCGACTATGGTTTGAGTACTGGACCCAGAGTCTTCAAATTCATGCCAGGCCCATGTGCGTGCATGTCCAAAGTCCCAAGAGAAAAATAGAGAAGGGATTGGGGTGTGGCCAGATCCCCGGGGGAGTGATTTCTCCCTTCCAGTCTCTCTGTCTCTGTCTCTCTGTCTCTCTCTCTCTCTCTCCAGTGAGCACACACACCCTATAGCAAAAATCTCCCTCTAAAAAAAAAGGGGTGGGGGGAAGAAAACAGGGAACCATGCCTTCACCCAAGGACATTCTAAGAACCCGATTACCTCATGGGTCCTGGAAGAATACATAAACTGTATGATGCTTGATAAAATGTAGCCACTATTGTCTGGGAGACAAGTCCGTAGGTGTGTGCCTCCATACCTGTGTCTTCACGTCCACAAACTAAATAGAAACTCAGACATCACCCGCTGTTGGAGTGATGCCAAGGCTGGCGGTCTGGGTCGGGTGTGCGGACTGCCGTGGGAAGTCAGCTCTCTGAGCTTACCTTTCTCCTTGGTGAACGGTGCAAAGCCCACAGCCCACCTGTTATTCGCAGCCTGCTTCTGTGGGGCAGTGGGTGAGTAGTGTGTTCACTGCACTTCTGCCCCAGGCCACCAGAGCCAGCTCTCTGCTCACTCTGTGACTCCCCCAGGGGTCTTGCCCCTCCCTGAAGGAAATATCCCACAGGAAGTCTTACTCCCAGGCAGTATCCACTCACCCCCAAGAAGCTGGGCAGCTCCCGAGTCAACAGCTCCTTTAGCTCCGACTTGTTGAGCTTGAACTTGTCGCCCTCCTTGCCCGAGTACTTGTGGAAGGTGGACACCATCACGTCCAGTGCTTTCTCCAAGGGGCACGCCATGGTGGCAGTCAGATCTGGGGACGAGGGCACAGAGGCATCCTCACCAAGCCCACACACTACCCCTCCCCACAGTACTTGGTGACACCTGGAGAAATGGGGCACAGCACTGGGAGGAGGGGGAGGATGCATTTTTTGGACAGCAAACACATGCAGGCCCCCTGCACAGGCGCTGAAGGTTCTGGCAGAAACTCTGGGCCTCCCTCAGCCTCACTGGGCAGCAGCATTTTTTCTGCCCGCACTCTGTCCATTCACCCCCACAGCTCAGCTGCAGCCCCGCCCGGCCCATTCTTCTCCCTCCCAATGCTGGGCGCGGCTGCTGGAGGCCTGCCCAGGGGCCTGCAGCGGAAAAAACCAGCAGTCTAGCACCCAGCACAGGGAGGGGCAGGCTGAGGTGGCAGAAGCAGGGGTGCAAGGGAGGCTGGGAGCCCAGGCTCTTTTGGGCTGGTCTGTCAGGTGCAGGGCAGAGGCTGACAGGGCACTACCAACAAAAGCCCACAGTTGCCCTCTATCTTCGCTTTGCTTCCTGCCCCCAAGTGTGCCTACGCAGGTCCGGGTAACCCAGCAGACACAAGGCAGTGTGCATACCCACCAGTCAGACGCGCACAGCGCATACTACAGCAACAGGGTGTGCACGCCCGGAGAGCTCGCGGCCAGCCACCTGCACTCTTTTCTCCCGTCTTCCATGCACATGCCTAGTGCACGTGTGCACACACATCCACACACACCACCCCAGAGCCTCCTCCTTGGAATCTCGCATCTGGATCCAGTTAGCACATCTGGCCCCCACCCGCCGCCCTTCTCCTGCTCCCATCTCAGCCTCTCACACCCCTTGCCTGCCAGTCAAGCCCACAAAACTCACCAGGTCAAGAGAGGAAGTGCTGAGAGAGGGTTGGGGAGAGAGGAAGAGTGAGGAGAGCCCAGCCGGCTGCCCTATTTATACCCCCGCCAGGCCCTGCCCATGGCAGGGGATGGGGGAGAGGACGAGCGGAGCACGGCCCTCCGGGTGTGGGCTGATGTGGTGAGCGCCACAGCCCCCCTCACCAGCCCAGCCCGGGAACCTCCCTTCCTGTCCTCAACAGGCACAGATGGGCCATGAGGACAGGTGCCCCTTGGGTCCCGGTGGGCACCAGCCAGTGCACACAGCTCAGCACAAGTTTTAGGGAGCTGGGGCGGGGAGGGGTCAGGGAGGAACTGTCCCCCGCAACTAGGAAGGGAGATGCAGGGAGGAGGGGACTGGAATGCCACAACTTGGGGGACAACTCAATCCTCCCTGCTCCTTCCCAAAGAGCTCTCTGCCATGCCACCAAATAAGGTCCAGGGAGGGTTGAGGGGATAGGAGGGGACGGCAGACACCCACGGGAGCGCCGAAACTACCCATGTCTGTGGGGAAGGTCCTGGATGATGTAGCAGTGGAGGGGAGTGGGAATCAGGCATGGG